TCGCCCACTGGCTGGATGCCCCTTAACCAGTGCTGCCCATTCCTGAAGCTCCTCTCCACTTCGCTGGAGGCACGGAAAGGCTCAGCTTCTCACCAGATGCCCAAGAACATCAGGGGTTCTGCAGCCAGGCCAGGTCCAGGCTGACAGGCCCCTGCACAGCGATGGAAAGGAGAGCTGCTCTTGTGGGATCATCGCTCATAATCAGTCCTTGCTCTGGAAAAGCAGCCGAAACAAATCCAAAACATGCTAGCTGCAACTACATGGCAAAAGCTAATATAATAAATAAGACGGTTGTCCTTCAAGAATGTAGGAGAACCTGAGTACAATAGTACAATATTGAGTACAATAAACCCTGTATGTCTTTGTGACATGCTGGCTAAAAGGATCACAACACAGCGAGGAGGAACTATCCGCAATGCTGAGTCCAGTACAAGGGTCAACAGTCCACAAATGAGAATGAAACCAGCAGATGCTCTTAAGGTGGTCAAGGGCTGGAGCACAAGATTGTGCTGAAAGGGTTTACAGGTGGACTCGATGATCTGGAAGGTCTTTTCCAACCATAACGATTCTGTGATTCTACAGATGAGCAGAGGCAGAGAGAGCAGGGCTGGTCCAACCCAAAGAAGAAAAGGAGGGATCTAACTGCATATTCCACTTACCTGAAAGCAGAGGGAGGGCTAATGCAGAAGATGAGGCTAGACTGTTCTCACAGGTACCAGCACAGGAGGCTGTGGGCAGTTTGCAACCAGGAAAATTCTGACTAGATATGAGGGAAAAATCTGTTCCCTGTGACAGTGCTGAAGCACTGGGACAGGGCTCAAAGAGGTGGTGGCATCTCGATCTTTGAGACCTTCCAGACTCAACTGGACAAGCCCAGGACAACTCAGGCTTGCTTTGAAGCTTGGACCCTGCTCTGAGCAGATGGTTGGACTAGAGACCTCCTCCAGAGGTCCTCTCCAACTCAGTCTTTTTAGGTTTAGTGAAGTACCGTCCTAGGGGGACCTTCACAGAAGCTAGCAATGGAGAAGGGCAGTGCTTGCCTCAACTTGTGCCACTCTCCATGGCACAAGGCACCGTGCAGTGCCCCAGATCACCTAGCCCCACATGCAACAGATCTGCACAGGCTCCTTGGCATATAAAACACACTCTTGTGGTGGTCACACGCTGTGGAGGTCAGCGATACCTAAATGTCCCCAGAGTGCTCGCTCAATTCTAAGGGGCTCAGACCAAGTCGAGCAGCGGTGGGTGCCAGCCCCTACAGGGTCATGCCCACCTGGGCATTCGGGGCTTCCTGGCTGCACATCAGCCAGCAGGCAGCCACAGTGCAAGAGCTGCCAAGGGCCCTTCCTTACCTGGGAATACAGTGGTGGAAAAGGCAGCACCTATTTTTGCTGCTCAGGCATACAGTGCTGAAGCACATGCAGGAAGCTGAAGAGCACTCTGAAATGGCACTGCAAGCTCCACGTTCTCCCAAGCTGCACCACATCCCTTCCTATTCCTTTCCTGGTCTCTAGTGCAACTGGTGGGATCCTCTCACTCTGCTCCTCAGTCTACAACTGTGGTTTCCTTGCTGTTTTAGTGGATATTATTAGCTCAATGCTTTCTTCTTCTGGATCCCAGAAACAGTCGTCCCAACTATTCCGACGCCTTCATGTCCTGAAGAGACTCCTCCTCATTCCTCCTCTCACTTGGAAGTTCTCCGAAAGGATACGGGTGGTGTGGCTGCTCTCAGTTACCTCTTCTAGGAGCAATGCAAAGTTTGTCCATAAAGAAGAAAAACTGGTGATGTAATTCAGCTCCACACAGCAGCCAGGGAACCACTGAAGGAGACTTTAACTAACGCCTTATACCTGGAATTCCCAAAATACCGTTCTCGAAGGGCCTCTTAACAATTATGGCATAGGGCTGCAGAACAGAGCTCATGATGTGCGAGGCTGCAGCTGACCAACCAGCCTTGAAAGAGCAGGTTTATACCAGGTCTTAACCCTTCTGAAAGGCTGTTGCTGCTCCGCCGAGCTCCAGGAAGGCAGGTGGAGAGGCAGGTGCCCGGAGTATCCATGCGGTGACTCTGGACCCATCCGATGCCAGATGAGACCCCCGGGCAAGCAGGTCGCTCAGTCGTGGCAGAGCTAGAACATGTTCAGCTGTTTCAGTTACAGCCATTCATTTGTTCTGGTAAGGACAGTCACAATTAGAAAGCTCCTCTGGGGACTGCCTGCCTAAAAAGGCTTCCGGACTGTGCGGAGCCTGTGACTGATTTTTGGAATTCCCTCTTGTAGAGCATTAAACCCAACGCAGCACAACTTCTGTGTCGCTGTGACACGGATGGTGAAAATCCCACACCCAAGGGTGCTCTGTGCAGCACCATGGGTGAGACCCCGCATCCCTCCACCACAACAGGAGAAGCCACATGCAGTTTCTATCCAAGACAATACGAACATGTATGTGGCTTTACCTAAGGACTGCTGGAAGAAATGACACTGTGAGGGCCTGCTCAGATAACGTGAGGCCTCTCTTATGGCCTCTCTTTTATTCATGTACTTCAGATGCACTTGGAATAACAAACCGCAGATCAATTTTATAAAAGGAATTATTTTACTGCACAAAGCCTCTCATTAGGTCAAGCTCATATTCAAAATTAAATACCTTAATTCACTGCATTTTTTCTTTAATTTTAAAAATTGACTGCAACAAATCCAATTGTTAGCTCATGTCGTAGTCAGGCATAAAAACCACCAAGTGGCAGCCAGGGACGAACCACTGGGATTTGAAAAATAATGTGGGAAGGACCGAGTCCAAAAGCTCATCCAGGAATCAGCAACAGGTCCAAGCCTATCAAGCCTGCACATCCACATGCCTCTGCGAGCACATCCATCCTGCCCACACTTACAGCCTCAGTAAAAAACATTTGTCAGGGTCTAAGCACCACAAACAGAAACAGCTAGGGAAGTTGCAAGAACACCTGAAATCAAAGAACAAACAATGGGCACAGGCCAGGGATGTCTCAGGAGGAAAGTCTCAGGGCTCCCCAAAAAGCAGAGCCAGGACTGCAGTACTAGAGCCTGCGAGAGACCCACAGCGTTAACGTGTATTGGCTGCAGTACTCGGGGCAGTTAAGTGAGAAGGGAAACCAAACCAAGGTTACTCTCTGCAAGTAAAGAAGTGAAGAGCATCCCTGCTGTTCTGAGGGATCTGCAGCCGCCAAGTGATGCACGTGGTTAGCAGCAGAGCCGTGATGCAGCCCCCTGATGCAGTCATTCAGACTGTGGCCTCTCGGCACCAGCCTCAACACAACATCAGGATGGTGCTCCACCACTAGCCTCAACACATCAGGATGGTGCTCCACCATGGCAGCAGGCTCCAGGGAACGCTGGAGAGCCCGTCCCTTGACACCTTTTTTTGCACAAGAATAAGCAGCTATCTAGGAGCATCTCCTTCTTCTTTGCAGCAAGGGGGAAACCCAAATGAAAACTTAATTGCTCTAGGACAGTCAGCAGCAGTCAGCATCTCAACATAGACCAACAGGGCTTAACTATATGACAGAGAACAGACTTGGCTTCAAGGAAGCACAAATTATCACAGTCTGACAGCAAAAAACAACAACAAAGGCAAACGCGAAAGAGATAAGGATGGTATTGCTACAAAGACGAGAGAGAGGTTTGACTGCAGGCAGACAGGAAGAAATTAATGAGGAGACATGGCACTTGTGCAATGATGGCACAGGAAGCAGCCTAATGTGAAAGGCAAAAGTCAGATACTAGACTATTTCCAGCCTAAGCACCCACAACCAGCCCATTACTGCGCTCTAAGTCTTGTGCTGAGAAAGGCAGAGCTTGGAGCAAGAATTCCCACGAGGGAAGTTCACATTGGGCCTCAGTTTCAGCAACAGCTCTAGGGAACTGGAACACTATGGGAACTGGAACATACACTATGGGAACGGGAACATACACTACGGGAACTGGTTATACATCAGGCAGCGGTGACAGGCCCAGCAACAGAGGCTCCAGAAAGGACATCTGTCCATCAGTTTAAAGTGCTTGTGCAGTTGTAGCAAGGTAAGGACTCCAGGTCTGGTTAATATCCATCACTGGACCAAAATAAACAGAGTTGAAGATGAACAGAGGAGATTTCAGGCACGCAAGCTCATTCCCCAAACAGAACCAAAAGCAGCAGCTTGCAAGGTTAAATCCTGCTCGGTGTCATCCTCTGCTTCTATCTGTGCCTAGGAGGAGGTTATCAAGGTACCCAAAAGCTGTGTTCTGTTTTTGGAACCATAACAGCTGGTCTAACTAAAACATATCCTCCACCCTCTTTGTGCAGCCACACCAGTCCTTAAGTCACATAATGGTAAACACTGCAGGCCGCACGTCACGAGTCCCTGGGCCTGATCCGTACAACAGCAATGATGCATGAGTCTGTTGTACCCAGAGGTTATCCCACTCCTACATCTGTGCTGGACACTTTTGTACCTGAAACTGAAATCGCTACCTTAAGAATCCTTACAAAAACACTGCTGCTCCCTCCTGAATGGGTCGCACCTAACGAAGCTACTGGCTACACTCACCCAGAGCCTGACCTCTGCATTTGCAGCCTGCAAGGAAGAGCACAGTTTAGAGGTCAAGAGACTTCTGTAATTTAAAGGTTCTCATTTAGGTCAGTGATACATGGGGGACCGGTAAATACTTTTACTGAGTGCTGTATAGAGGAGAAGGGTGTTTGTGGCTTAACACAAGAGCTGACAACCCAGTCTGGCAGCACCCACGAACGTTTCTTACAAGCTAACATTGCTCCTACCAATACGGTCGTAGATGACTTCCAGTTAGCCAGTTCTGTCCTCCAGCTGCTGTGAAAGCACCCATTTCAGGGCATGAGATACTTTAACGTAGTAGACATTTAAAAGACAAGGTGTGAGAGTCCTGTGCCCTAAGCGACGCGTTTATCATGAAAGACCAAGTTCCTCCAGATCCCATCATTAGCACATGACAGGACACAACTCACCGGGTCTCCTGGGGTGATGTATGAGCATGGCTGGAGCTGGGGCTGTGGACAATAAATACATCAATGACCTTGTGGAGGTGGAAGAGACCTTTTTAATAAACAGAGTTCAAATAAAAAAAAAATCCCTCCGATCTGCCACTCCGAAAAGAGTTCAGGCAACTAGTACAGAAGATGATACTGTATGTGCACAGATGGAGGGAGCAGGGAAAAAAAGAACAAGCTGTCACCAACCTGATGCGTTTCCTCAGTAAATCAGCAGAAACCATCTCAGCAAAACTCTCCAGATAAAATACTGGTGGAGCCATCATAAACAACTCAAATCAATATAAAGAGAAATCCCTACATTGGAAGGCGCTATATTAGAATAACCAGCAAAATACTGAATGCTGCTGGAGCTGCAGCAATAGCAGGGAGACAGATAAAATCTGCCAGTCACTCCTGGGGTCAGGAATGGCCATGTAGTGAGGAAATCACTCAATCCTTTCACAGGCAGTGTGTGTGTCTGTGTGTGTGTGTGCATGTGTGCGTGCTGGAGGGGACGTTGGTGGCAGGGAGGTCAGGCCACAGACGAGATGCTGTTGCAGTGGCAGCCACGGAGGGTGAAGGGCAGCACTCAGGGATGTCAACTCCGTCTTGCTCTGGTGGCTAGTGCAAATAGTCGTCTACTCTGGCGAAGGAGCAGGAGCCCAGGCCCACACGAGCCATGAGCCGCAAGCACTCAGAGGCCTGGCCCAGGGCAAGCATCAGCGGGGGCTGCTTTGGCAGATTCTGAGATTCTGTGGGGGCAAAAAAAAAAAGAGAAATCTGTTTAGAAGAGGCACTTTGGCTGCGTGGCTTCTGATCTGCACAGGAGTCCCTCTATGTCCCACACGTGCACCGAGGAGAGCATCCCTGTCTGGACGCACTGGTACTTGAGGACAGTTATTCCTGAGCAAGGCTGGCTCACACTGCTGCTCGACCACAAACCCCACGCAGGGCTGCCCAACCTCGACATGTCCCCCCAGGGGCCACAGTCTAACGAGGCCCTTGGAAAGAGCTGCTGTGGGGGCCAGAACAAGAGAAAAAGCAACGCAGTCCCTGCTGCCTCAGTGTCCTCAGAAGGAAAATCTTCCACATCTGAGAGAGTAGAGCATGGAGGAAGAAGGAAAGACAGGAGAAACTGGCCCCAAGTACTGAGGGAAAGGTTGTCTATCCATCTCCCACCTACAGAGATCTAGGCCATAATCCAAGGCCCAGAAAACTCACTGCTCACAGCCTCTTTTCAAATTAATTTTTGCTACATACAGGGAGGAAATCCTCAGAGGAGCTAGTCAAGTCCTGTGACTTGTGTGACAGAGAATATCCAGGCACCTCTTCCAGCCACCGTGCAGAAGACCCAGCCATATTCACCACCAGGGAGAGGAACACTCCTCCCCTAGTGCTATCATTTCTGCTCCTTTACTCATACAGAGCACGAGTCTTGACAGGTTTGCTCATGACACTTCCTTCCCCAGAGGACAATCTCTAACGCTCCTTCTTGCACACTCAATATCAAGTGCACAAACCCATCAGGAGAGATGTCATTCGAACAACAGGTTTCTCAGACAGAGAAGCTGTGAAGTGGAGAGTGTTTGGCCAGCCATGGATGGATTGAGCTAAACGGAGCTGGGTAATGTCCTGTGAAGAGCAATGATATGACACAGGCAGGGTCTGGGGGCAGCGTGCAGGGGCTGGGTAGAAAGAAACAATCCCTTTCTTGTAGCCTGGTTATCAAGTTATCTTATTACCAATATGCTCATTTTCCACCAGGGGATTTTCTACAGATGATGATGGCATGAGGGTCAGCCATGACTCAGGAGCTCATTGATTGCAAGAGTAAAACTTCCATTGGGGAAAGCTGCTGCTTTTAGTACACTAGGCTCAAAGTGGGAGAGTCATGTGAAAAGCTGTTTGGCCAAGTAGCATTCTTGTCTAAGGAAAATGGAAGGGCAGGCATGAATAGCCAACTGTGGCAATACATGGAAGCACAACAGACTGCTTCGGCCTGGGTCCAACCATGATATATGAAGGATATGAACCTCATCAAAGGAAAGAGGAGCTGCTGAAACTCCTCTGAAAAGCTGAAGAAAACCACACACAATTGTGTGTGTGGTGTGGAAATTGCTACACACAATTTCCACACAGAGCAGGGTCCACTCAACAGAGAGAAGACGAGAACAGAAAGAACGACACGGCTGGACCATCAGCACAGCACTGGTTTTAACATGGTCTACCAGCAGCAAGGCTCTCTGAGCTCCAACAGGCATACCACATGATGGGAATATGCAGAGCCTATGCTCAACGTGAAGGTGGCCCCTATGTAATATTTAGCTCTGCATGTTCAGGAACAGATCAGAGTGACTGGAATTCATGCCTTTCCCCGCTTCAGAAATCTGCTTCATTTGCAAGCTGCTGCGGTGGAGCATCTGCATTCCGTAACAGAGAGCAGGAAGATACCAAGACAGGGCTCTGCCAAGCCAAGCAACCTGGAAAGGAGCCTTGCTGACACCAGCAAACTGATTCAGCTGGATTCAATGCAAAAAGGAAGAGATGCAGAAAATGCATCTTGGTTTCTTCAGTAAACAGAGAATGAAACTCCTGAGGAGAATCCTTGGAAGCAGCACTAGGGAAGACCCAAGAAAGGGAGCCAAAAAAAGGTCATATCAGGAGCATGCTTTCTGTACAGGCCTCTCTCCAGTCTCACTGCTCTCCTGGCTGATTCAATTCTCAACAACTGAAAGAGAGGCAGAAGCTAAAGACAAATATTTTTGTAATTCTCAAGGGCACGCCTGTCACGGAGCAGCCTCTGAGAGCAGATGTACCCAGTGGGTAGCTCTCACACAGAAGCCAGATCTTACCCAATATAGCACTATTAAGAGCAGCACACACAGGTTCCCTCTGGATTGGGTCCAGCTGTTGACCAACAGGGCAGTTCCAAGGGTCAGAGTAAGCTAACAAGCTAAATGCATCCTGAGAGAGAGAAGAGAAAGGCACAGTAAGGTCACACATGATGGCAAACTTGCAGACAAAAAAGCAGGTCTGTCCGCGGGGCACCTCCTGCAACAACCACCAAGGTGACAGGCGCCTACCTCCTGAAAAGAAATGGCCCAGTTCTTCTTGGGACCAACCCCGGGCCATCAAGAAAGGGGATAAAGGAGGGTGTCATCTCCAACTGGCAGGGGAGGCAGAACGGAAAAGCAGGCAGAGCTTCACCTGGAGAGAAGGGGAGCATGCGGTAGCCCCAAGAAGGCAAGCAGGAGCAGAACTTCCTCTCTCCTGCACTGAGAACTGAGTCTAGAGGCTTCATGTTGACTCAGTTTTGACCTCCGATTCCCCCATAGGCTCCCTTTTACTCTCCAGATGCAGAAGTGGGGGCTACCTAGAGCTCTGCAAGTGAAGCCGTAACTCCAGTCCTGGCTCGAAGGACCGCTGTGATACAACATACAGCTCAGACCTACCTGAAGCATCTTTTTGTGCACTGTGTTCTTTCCATATTCTTTGCAAAGCTGCTCACTCAGCGTCTGCAGCTCCCGTCCAAACTGGATCATTCGCTCCGTGGCAGCATGGTTCCCTCCACAGAGCTGCCTCTGAGGACAGTTGTCTTCTAGAGGAAACACAGCAGAGAATCGTCTCCTGTTCCCCACCATTGCACATTCTGTGCCACGCTGCCCAGTTCTTAGCCATAAATTCCTCCATTTCAGAAGCAGACAGATGCTCCTTAGTCTAATCCTTAGTCTAGAATTATGCAAGTGGAAGGGCTTTTTTGAGTCATGCACCACAAGAGGCAGTAGGCAGATGGGTTGCTTTCAACGGCATCTGTTTGGTACAGGGCAAAAGTGGAACTCAGCTTGTTCAAGAACTGTCTGAAAATTAAGTCTTCGGATTAAATCACGAGAGATGGACCTTCTGGGTCTATTACACTTACATGTGCATAACACAACACACACACACCAAAACCCCTGGTCTGCCAAAGACTCAGAAATCTTTTAGTCCTATATAACACTACTAACAACTTCCCAGTATCGGAGGGCTGCAGGAGCCACTGGAAGTGGAAGACTTCCCACTTGGGAGTGCAGCTGAGGCATCCCCTCTCTGCCAGCTAAAGCACTCACAAGCAGAACACTTATTGCTGACTGTGAATGGACTATACTGTGTTAGGAACATTTTGCAACTGGGAATCAGACAGCATTTCACAGCCCAATCTCAGTGGGTAGAACTGCCAAGACTGCTCTGGCTGCAATTCACGACCAGCACTAAACAAACTCTTGACTTAGGAGCTTTCCTTGCTTATAAGCGTCACCAAAACTCCTCTGAGACCACAAAAAGCCAAATCAGGTTTAAATTCCAAGGACAGATTCACACTCCCTGTGAATTACCCATCTGGACAACTTCATTCACAGGGGTGAGAAAAGAGACTCGAAGGACATGTCTCTTTCCCACACTCAGTCACATGTTTTAATTCTTGATACCGGCTCTTTCTACTACCCTTTACCCCCTTGACTTTCTGTGCAACAGGACAACAGACATCCCGCCTGGCAGGCCCTACCCATGCTGGATTCATCCGTCTGCAGGATCTCTTCGTGTTTGTAGGTGCCATTCATTATTCTGGTGGATGAGTTTTCCAGGACTCCATTTGGGTAATGCTCAGCCTCCATTTCCATCTCACTGTCACTGAGGTAAAAGAAGGAAGGAAAGGCCACATGTATAAATTAAAAAGGGAAGAGATGAAAAGCCCAGATGACAAACAATGCCCTGCAACAGCCAGCAAAACACATTTAAATGACAGTCAGATTACAGAGAACAAAAGAGCCTAACTCGGTGTAGCAAAAATTTTTGCAGAATTCAGAGAGCAGCTTATGAAACAGGTTTCTTTTCTGAAAGTGTCTGTCATGACAGACGCAGAGTGCTCAAAAACTTTCATTTCAGGAAGGAGTCACCCCTGGAGCAGTGAACAGCAGAACAACCAGGATGAAAATCCTGGATGAGGATGCCATGATAAGCCATCAACATTTTCAAAAAGTGCAACACAGAACATACGAGGACTCTAAGTTTCAATGCTCAAGACACTAATCTGTATGAGATTGCTGATTAACCCCCCAAACAGAAATGATAAAATAATCTTGCTGTGACTTGAAGTCCACATTGAAAAACACTCAGCCTTCTGGCAGGCAGTTGGCTGAACCTCAACACGTGGTTCTTACTCAGTTACATGCACTAGGCTTCCTGGAGATCAGGATAGAGAAACTGCAAACTGCTCAGCACAGTACACAAAGGATAAATGCCAGCTGCAATTAGCAGCAATTAGATCCCACTAATTACAAGGATTTCCTCTGCTCTAAAGGGAGCTCACTTCCCTCCACTGCTCCATATACTCCACACTCCAGTAAACGTAGCAGTATCGTGCTCTGCTCTCCTTCGACTGCCTGAAGCTTCCTGGAGAAGACAGGCTTTCTAAACCTCACCTGCTGTCACACGTATGCAACAAATTACCATTGGTTCAGAAGCTCACACCTCAAAGGAATTGAGCATCCAGAGAAGCAGTCCAGGAAAAACACTCAAGAGGCCAACACTCAACGCTCAAGAGGCCCACACTCAACACTCAAAGCCAATAATGGCTTGGCCAGCTCCTTCACCTTCTAAAGGGCTGACGAGCTACCCAGCAGCAGCAACACACCAGCTAATGCAACAGCAACAGGCTCCACAGGAGCCCTCCTGCGCAAACCACCATGTGAGGCACTTATGACATCAATTCAACAGGACAACTTGGTATTTAAACCAAGATCATCCTAAAATTCCTAGTAAGATGAGTCTCCAGAGCCCAAAGCAGAACAGGGAACAAAGATGGACCTGTCTCTGCTTGGGGTAGCTATGTGAAGAGTTACTCATTTTCAGAAAAGCAGGACAGATGCTCTCCTGGCTCCTCAAAAATCAGATTGAGTTGTTTCCCACCCGCTCGTCCACCTCAGGCATTGAATAGGAAAATAAAAAAATACCTGGTTTCTTGGTTACTCGTACTACTGTGCTGCTGAGATTTGGTAGAATCTGTAGAATTGGATTCAGAGTAGTTCACAGATGAGGGGGAAGAGGAAGAGGAAGATGAAGACGATGAACTCAGTGCTGGGTATTTGCTACGACTCTGTTTGCTTTTTGTGGACACGACTCCATTGCTACAGGTTGGACTATCTGCTCCTAGAAGCCAAGAAGGGAAAGGAAAAATGAGACCCGACTGACTACATCACTCTGCTGTGAAGTGAGCAACTGAGCAAGAGAAGAGAGCCCCGAAGGAAGGAAGGAAACAAAGCAAGACTGCAAATCTTAAATGATGATTCTCCCTTATTAAATTTAATGGCATTTACAAAATACACATATTGATATGACAGGAAACCATAATGCATCAGCAACATCCGAGCTTAAGTAAACATCAGAAATTGTTTGTAGATCAGCAGCAGCAGCTCAGACAAACACAGAAATTACTGCTGAAATAGGAAGAATGAATCTCATTATTACAAGCTCTTTTTTTTTTCCCTCATAAACCAAAGTTTTCCTCCATACAATGAAACCACAAACGAAGAAAGCCAGGCCACAAGCAGGACACTAAAAGCCCCACTTCCCAAGCCTTCCACAGCTTATCTTTCATCAGGGATACACTTCATTTACACAACACTGAGCAGTTAATAACAATTCTTTTCAAATCACAAGCTGACCCTCTTCATTTAGGAGTAAAAGACATCACTAAAAGGAGAGTCAGACTTGAAATCTGATTTGTAAGATTGACTGATGGATCTACCCAAGGACCTAGCAAGTCCTGCAAAATGCATCTATCAAGTGAGGGAACTCTCTGCCACAGAACACTTTTGGTAATTACTGCAAGTTTAGTTTGGATTCAAAAGCGATTAGCTACATTTATACGGGCTACTTATTTAGCCCATGTACCAAGACAACTGCAAATCTCTAGGAGCTCAAAGAATATTTTAGGAAAACATAACTAAAGTCTTGCCCTGCTCTCTGGACAAGTACTGGATACTGGACTAGATGATCCAACCTAGTACAGCTGCTCCTCCTGACACATTCAAGTTCATCAGTTGATCCCAGAGTTTTATTTATAGCTCAGGAATTTATTTCTGTTTTTATCGCTGCAAAAGCCACAATACATTCACATAACACACATCATTTTACATATTTTAATGACAGAAGAAAATATGTAGCATGTAAGATCTGCTCCACACAACAAGGAGCTCTCATGCAAGACAACCCCTGAACTTTTTTTGCTCAGTGAGCCAGAACAATGAATCTTCTTTTCAGTCTGAGCTAGCTTGAAGCTCTGCAGACTGGAAGGTCCCTACAGAAAAACAACTCTCTCTTGCAGACCTTAAGCTACAGGAGACAGACTTCCTCTTCCAGGCTTGTTGTTTGGTCTGTGAACCATCAAGCCACATGATGCAGCAGCACTTGCTCTTCCCACCAGGAGACAAACACTTACCAGTGCTATGAACATGTGAGTTGTTTGATCCATGTCTGGGACTTAAACTGGGGGAGCCGGGGTAACTGTCCTGGGATCGGGGGCTGCGGGCACTGAAACAACGTACTTCACTGTCTGTCCCATTCACCATCTCCACAAACTGCCGACACCTGGTTTTATAAGAACAAAGAAAGGAGAAAGGATGCGTGACACCCAGGATGGTCTGCACTGATGTTTCCTTAGTTATTTATCACTCGCAGAAGTCCTATACACAGAACAGCAGTAAAATTTCTTGGCCTTGGAAAATGTTCTTGCATTGTGAGTTCTCCGATAATACTACAGTGGGAAGGAGTTTAGATATTCCCAGATATTCTGATATATGCTAGTCAACACTGACACCCATACTGGGAAAGACATGCAGCAACATCTTTTCAATGCCATGAACACCACTTGAGCAACTGAGTGCTGAGTATCAGCAAAGACAGAGACTGGGAGAGCCGGGACATTTTGGGAATAGCAGGGTCAGTAACACAAGTATCAGCTGTCGTAATACTAGGGGTAAAACACTTCACAGATTGGGAACACAACAGCCATTTTGCAAGGCCACCCTGCCCAGGGTTTGATAATATTTCTGCAGTTGCCCAAACGTTCCCAAGTCTCTACTGCTCTGAACCCAAAAGAATTCTTGATCTGAGATGGATCGAGGGCTTGGCTGGATGGCAGAGCTCAGAGGGTGGTGATAAATGGGGCCGAGTCCAGTCGGAGGCCTGTGGCCAGTGGTGTCCCCGGGGGTCAGTACTGGGCCTGGTGCTGTTCAACTTGTTTATCAATGACCTGGACGAGGGCACTGAGTGCAACCTGAGCGAGTTTGCAGATGATACCAAGCTGGGTGGAGTGGCCGACACTCCGAGGGTTGCGCTGCTATCCAGAGGGATCTGCACAGACTGGAGAGCTGGGCAGAGAGGAACCTCCTGAGGTTCAACAAGGACAAGTGCAGGGTCCTGCACCTGGGCAGGAATAACCCTGGGCACCAGTACAGATTAGGAGTTGACCTGCTGGAGAGCAGCTCCACGGAAAAGGACCTGGGAGTCCTGGTTGACACCAAGTTAACCATGAGGCAGCAGTGCCCTCATGGCCAAGGAGGCCAACGGGCTCCTGGCTGCATCAGGAGGACGTTGCCAGCAGGGCAGGGAGGGGATCCTGATCCTGCCCCTCTGTTCCGCTCTGGGGAGGCCAAACCTGGAGCACTGGGGGCAGCTCTGGGCTCCCCAGGATAAGAGGGACCTGGAGCTTCTAGAGAGGGGCCAGTGCAGGGAGTGACAAAGATGATGAAGCGACTGGAACATCTCTTATATGAGGAGAGACTGGGTGAGTTGGGCCTGATCAGCTTGTTCAGCTTGGAGAAGGCTAAGAGGGGATCTGATTAACATGTATAAGTTCATGAAGGGAGAATGCAGGAATGTAAGCTCTTCTCATTGGTGGCCAGTGACAGGACAAGGGGCAATGGGTATAAGTTGAAACACAGGAAGTTCCGTCTCCAGGTGAGGAAGAACTTCTTTACTATGAGGGTGCCCGAGCCCTGGCCCAGGCTGCCCAGGGAGGTTGTGGAGTCTCCTTCTCTGGAGGTCTTCAAAACCCACCTGGATGCCACCCTGTGCCACATGTTCTAGGTGTGCCTGCTTAAGCAGGCACTAGACTAGGACTAGATGATCTCTAGAGGTCCCTTCCAACCTTGAACATTCTGTGATTCTGTAATTCATGTGATTGCGAACTGGTAGATGGGATTCGTGACAGAAGGTGGTTTTCCTTGTCCCCCAAAGAAAGTTTATTCCCACTGTGCTAATAAGAAACTGCTCCTTCACAGTGTGCTTATGCCTATGTAGGTACTCCAAAATTAGACTGAGCTTTTTGTTTTTGGTTTTTTTTGCTTTTTTTTCAGGTAGAAGACACTAAATCTGCCAACACCAGAGTACCTCCACTATCTCATCAATCTAGAAATGCTGGTGGCTGATAGAAAATAGAGAGGGAGGAGTGAAAAACACAATATCCACAATGACAGGATGACGAAGGCAGGTCCCATTTAGCACTGTGGGGAACTCAGTTATGCTCTGTCCTTACCCTGGCTCAGGAGGCTGGGAAGAGTCATGCTGTGGCTGGGAGAGCTGGGACACACAAGCCCCTTTTCCCTTTATTCTCTATCAGACATAGCCCTTTTCCATAAATTCGGTCTTCTAGGAGCCTCCCCAGCGACTATCAAATGTTCCCGTGTTGCAGGATCTCCACTGGACAAACAAGGGCCACCTGTGAAGGTGCTTCTAGCAGTCGGCAGAGCTGAATTTTCACTCCTCTCCACCTGCCTCGGTGACAAGGACATTGCCTGCATTGCCACAAGCTCTATAACAGGGAGGCAAACTATGTCTTCTCCCACCTGCTTCCAAAGGGATCTCAGCTTAAATTCAGAGCGTGGTTTTCAGCCCGACTGGATGGCTGCCTAGCCCTTCCCTCAACTCCACATTTCAGCATAGGGAATATAAGGCTATTCATACTTACTTTAACATGAAGAGCAGGTTGGGATTGTGTTCTAGGAGGCCAGGATAAAGTTGCTGCGTGGCTTCTATAGCCTCTCCCACTCTGCCAGCTAATACTAGCTTCTGTATTCCTGAAAGCAAAAGGAAAGCTATTGGCACACAGGTCAGACCAACAAGAATGGTCAGAGTAGTCACGAAAAGTTCTCCCACAGCTCCCCACCAACACCTCGCACAAAGGCATGGAGAACTGGGTGACCTCCACGTTTTGTTTATTCTGGATTAAAATGCAGAGAAACATGTGAAATGGGGGGAATCTGATAGTACTCTTGGTGGATCTGGAGGCTTAAGCATGTGACTGCTTCCTTTCTCTGAGCAAAATTTAATTTTACCATCCAAACCGAGCTTCTGTAACTCTCATCATGTCCCAACAGAAATAACCTACCCTGGCCAGCACTGAAGATGTGTCACCTGTAAGCAAACCCCAGGAATCAGGTATTGGCTTAGCTAGAAACAGCTCAACAAGCTGCACATTGCTGGAAGATGCAGGCAGACAGAGCAGAAGCCAAACAGCATCCTGCGTGCTCACCTGAGACAATCGTTTGACAGGACAGAAGACACAAGTGCAAGACATGCAGCCACTCATTCCCATCAGAGGGAAGCTGCTAATCTGCTAATCACAGTCTACTGCTTCATAAATGTATTGAAACTCAAGATGCTTTGCACTTCCCTCTCTGTTTATTCAAGGGTTTCTTACAAACAGTAGGAAGAACCCCCCTGGGAGCTGCTTTGCAAGCAGGGCCCCAGCAACAACAGGTTGCAGCTTTCAAAGACAACACAAACTATGAGAAGTTCAAAGCAGAGTCCTGCAGACCCCATCACCAATCCCCAGGAACAATCTGAAATGACCTGGCCTGGCTCCAGTTTCTCAACTGCTATTTGTTTTTAAACCTCTTACAGCTAAAATCAAAGATATGGCTCTTAAACCAATGTGTATTGCAGAGTATCTTCCATTCCATTCTCTATTTCTTCTCTTTAGTTACACATCAGTTTTCATGTCCTACTGTTTTTGACAGCTTTCTTCTTTGCCATGTTTGGCCACTTTCACGGGCGTCTCTGCCTTTTATATTTTCCTTTATTTTTGTCACCAGTTTTATTCACCAATTTGGAACTGCCTCCAAGAAAACACTTGTGCTGCTATAACGTGTTTATCCTAAAAAGTGAAACTCCCGGGCTCAAAGCTGAGAGGGGTCACAAGTCTTCCAATTAGGGCAGGGAATGGTCAGGTAGTCATTTTCTACAGAACTGAGAAAAAATAACCACGCTGATCAGATAGCTCAGTGTCCTTAAATCTCTAGGCATGCAGGTCATTTCTCAGAGCAGGTAAGGAAAAAAACAAAGAGCAGCTCTTCAGGGAAAGAGAGAGAAGGCAGAAAAGACACAGTGATGACGATGAAAACGCTCACAGGAACCATCCCCAGCCTCTGTTGACCACAGGCAACACCACTAAGCAAGTGTGGGCAGCTTCAGACTTGATTCCTCTCGCAGTCACGGCTTGTCCTTCTGGATCTGCTGTGGTTAAAGTACCAAGAGACCTGAGGATGCTGTGCAGTCAGCGTGCTGCCCTTTGGGAAGAGCTGCCCGAGACACTTACTTTGTCTATTCTTTATTGAGGTCTGCTCTTCCTGGATTGTGGTGTCTGTTACTCGGGCAAAGGCAGCTGCTGTTGAACAGTACCCATGATGAACCAAATAGGAAGAAACCATACTAGAAAACAAGAAAATATGAAGAGAAGAACAGGCATTGGTAAAACACAGTAACCTGACTGGAAAATAATAATAATAATAATAATTTTTAAAAAAGGACAGAAGCTGCAATTTCAGTGACCAAACTCTGCTTAGTTAGGACATAATCAGAGTCCAGACCATGCTCATTTACAAGATGGACAACTGAGAAGGATAGGAAAAACATCCTTATGACAGAGAGTAGATAGCCAACATAAGCAGTATTGGTATAATGATTGCTGCCTAAGTGCTACTTAGAAGAGATCTGCACTGTGTTACTGGCAGGGGCCTGTTCGTAACAGAGATACAGCCCCCGCCGTCCTGTACAAATTCCCAAATCCCAAATTCCTCAGAGAAGTGCATGGTTTTCAGGTAGATCTGAAAAAAAGGTTTCTGGTCTTCAATGTCTGTCATCACTTGTTTTGTCAGCAATTATTTATTGGTAACTGGATCTCCTTATGAATTCAACATACTCACAAACACTTCCATCTGCTCCTTTATAAGGAGTGGACTGTTAGCATTGCTTTTACAACCTTGAATTCATTTTTACGGTGTGTTTCTAAAAATACTAAGTGGATGGGGAGAAAGGAAAAAGTGCTATCACTGTCGGAAAATTAACACAACAAAACATCTTTCTGGACAACCAATTTCTGCAGCATTTCGTTCTGTCTCTTCTCAGGATATGTCAGTTAAATACTAATGCTAACTGGGCTTCAATGAAACCTAAAACCCCAGCATTTCAAAGCTTCTCATGACAAATCATTTGGTCATTATAACACAGAAAAGAGGCATTTCCAAGTCTGCAACAACTTCCCGGTGTTTAACACGGTGAGCAGATCTCTGACTCGTAAACCTTCTCCACCATCAGTGGAGAAGTGCTTCGGGTCGCAAGCTGCACAAGCCAGGCCCTTTGCACGCCTTCTTGCTGCAAGACGCATCCACACACATGCAGTGGAGCAGAGACTCACTGTTTGATGGATTAAATGCTCTACAAAGCCACCCGAGTACCTGCCTGTGCTCCTTCTGTCCCTGCTATCACGGGGAAAAAAAAAACCCCAACCCCTCTGTGTTGGTACAGAACAATATAATAAGTGGTCACTAAGAGTCAAGATTTTCAGCAATGACTTAGCAGGTTGACAGCTACTTACTATAGCAGAATGCTGCACACTCTCTATGCGGGAGCATTTTTGCATCCGAGGGCACCTCTCCTGAGTTCTGGGGGGACGGTACTGCTTCCCAGGGTGGGCTATGTGACATGTTCATGCAAGGCCAGATCTCCTGCATTACCAGCAATAAGGCTCCATGCAGTTCCCTCTGCCGCAAGCAACCCTACTCGCTGATCTCAAGGTCTACATGACTCCTGTTTGGACTCTTCAGGGAAAAGATTAGGGATCTTTCAAGACTTTAATAACACCCAAAGAAAACCAGCTGCCTATTTTTCTCCCTTTCAAGGTTGCAAGCCTCTCCTGTGATGCAATATGAGGAGCACAACACAGATCAAAAATTCTGCTACACTAATTCTTGCTTTACCATCCTCCCTATATTAAGTTTTCCCTAGAGGCAGCTTCTCTAAAATTAAGCCTTTCAGGATTTGTCAGGGTGGAAAATCTTGGAAGGGAACGTGAGTCTGCCCATGATGCTTAATTGCATCCAGGAGATACAAAACCAGGAGATGCAACCAAGCCTACCAAAGCTACAGGAACAACAGTATCGGCCCAAGAGCTACCAAGATGAAACAGCCGCACTGCTAACAGGAGGCAGGAGCTGCTATAAAGCTGCTTAAAGCTGCCTAAGACGACGAAGATGGAAAATGTGATGCTGATTTTTAAAAAGAGTCCCCAAGGGGGCATGAAGAGCCCTAGATGAGAGACCACAACTCCACCCCGCAGTCCAGCAGCCACATAGGGAGAAGCAATTCTGAAACAAAGCAGTGAGCAAACACGGGTAAAAGGATGCCCGTGCAGCAGCGGGTGAAATTCTTGAGGGGTTGCAGGAAACCAAATATAGATTGGCCTGGGGCAGACCACTTGCTTGGCCAAAGGCTTTACCCAGAACGCTGCAGCAAAGGCTCTCAAATAAACTGTGCTATGATGTGATAAGATGGAAGGTCTCAGCACTGCTAAACATTCCGTTAAACAACAGAATGACCCAAAAAAAGGGTCTGTTCTACGAGGAGAGGGAAAACACTGGAATCCCACAGGAACTTGTGACATATTCATAAAATAGACCTAGAGGGCCCAGTGCTCTGACCCGGTAAAGGTGGGCTTATGTTCCAAAATGCAGGGTGCATATTTTTTCCTGAATAACATGCTTTTCGTGCCCTAAGAACTAAGTGTTTACTAATCTGCCCAGTCTCTTTTTGAATTTGTGCAGCTTTCATGGTAGTGGGTAGCAGAAATCTTGGAACTTTAATTACTACGTTAAAAAAAGCAAAAAACTTTATTTTGAACTTGCCACCTTGTTCACTGCATTAGATGCCCTTTAGTCCTTGCACTAGGAAAGACAGTGTGTTTCCTTTGTCCTCTTCTCAAGGCTTTTGACGGATCTCTGCTTACCCCTCAAACCACCCCAACGCTGTGGGTCAGGCTGAGGGACAGCCTGACAACCCTTCCATACCTTTGCAAATCCGTTTTTTTTTCCACATTTTTTTTTTTCAGTTCTACTAGATACTTTTGGTAGAGAACCAAAACATCACACAGCATTCACACAAGATGGGTTCTGTCCTCTATTTTTCCCCTAATAAATCCTAGCATTTGTGGGGTTTTTTTCTGCTTGCTACCAAACAATGAGCTGATATTTGTGATTCCTCATACCCCAAAGCTCTCGCTCTTGAAGGGTCATAGTTCTGAGTCCATCATCCAGCCATCTGTAAGGTCAGAGCAGAGCCCACGCACGTGCACCGAGTGCGGTCATCATCTGTGCTCAATCTCCCCTGCCGTCTTTCCGCCTGCTCAGGCACCGCTGCAAGGTCAACCCCATCGGTCTTCTCCACCACCTTTCACTTTGCCGTGCTCAGCAGCTCAGTATCCCCAACACACTGTGTTAGTTCACTGTTCAACACCTCCTCCATGCCATCTCTGAACGTGCCCAGCGGCACAGAGCCCAGCACACCGCCGAGCAGAACTCCGCTCCGAGGATCTCTCGTCCCTCCTGAACAACTCTTTGTCTGCATCAGGATAGCTCCCACCAACCTCCACGCCAAGGGACCATCCCAAAAGACTTCGGGACTTTGCAGGCTGGCCGGCTCCTCTTCATAAAAGCCACATCCTGCTTCTCCACCTACTCTCAGCAGCATCCCTTACACACACATCCACGACAGACATCGAGGTTCTCTCAGCCCTTTGCTCCCTGCTTCTCTTCTGAAAGCCTCTGTGACACACACACACCACCTTCTCCTCCCCAGAAAGAAATTTCATTCCACAGAAAGAAGCTCATTTATTTTCTCCCTGAGACCCAGTAAGATCCTGGGTAAATCCCAGCTGGTCCCTTTCTCTTTTTCACTCCACTTATTTCTTCCAGCACTTACTCAACAGACGTTTCAATCCCAGACACATCCACTGCTAAGTCCCTCACAAAGAAAGGCCAGCAGGACAACTTGCCTTTTTTCTGCCCCACCAAACACACAGGCAAACAATCCATTTAGTTTCTCTGTTGTTCTCTGTTGTGGCCTTACCTTCCTTAAGGGCCTCTTTTTATACTTCAATTCTCTACTGGCCATACAGACTTGCTGGCAGGCCCCAAGCTCCTGATTTGCTTGAAAACAGATGCTAGTATTAGATGTTCTTCAAAGTCTTTCTTGGCCAGACTAATTATCTGCAGATGAGTAATACAAGGCTGGCAGAAAACAAAAACGGTCACATGTATCTAATCTTCACTGCATCTAAGTCTCCTGGATGAGAAAGTGACCAGTACCACGTGTTTATGGAAAGAATATGGTTAAATAAATAAAGAAAAAAGTTATCTGTGGTAATTAAATAGCAGCAATCAGCAGTTCTGTGACTTGATACAGAGTAATCCTATCAATTGGAAGGGTTTAAAATATAACTATGGAATAGCCTTCATGAATTAATGTGAATGATTCAATGTTTATCTTTTAAAATTCACTTATACTTGGATCATTTTATTCTTTTTCTTTCTTTTTCTTTCTTTCTTTTTCTGGAGGAGGTGTCTGCTCTCAGATTCCTGGGTTTTGAGAAACCGTGAATAACCACTCTCTGCTCCCACGCTTCGGAGCGCAAGTAACTGAGAAGGAACCACTGCCCATTGCCCTCCATTACCTGTTCCAAGCTGGGGAACCTTAGTCCACATTGTGTCTTTTCAGAGAGACACTCCTGGCCTCTGATAATTCCTGTCTGAACCTACTGTACTTCCTCTCCAACCTTTCTGCAATGGGATGCCCAGAGATGCATTCAGGATTTAGAAATGTAGGAAGTGGCACAATTGTGTTTCCACTTTGACTTGGTCTGTGAGCCTCTGACTTAGGCTATTCTTTGTTCGCTCGTTTCCGTATCCAACTACCTTTGGTCATGACTTTTTGCAATAATACTTTTTTTTTTAGTTTGCTCTCCATTCCCCTTTCCCAATGCATTTATCCCAGTGCATTATCAGACTGTGTGGTCTCCCATTCCTGTAAGATTTTGTGCAGTCATTGGTTGAAGCTTCTCCCATATCCTTTAAAGTTATATATAGTAGTCACCTACACAGAAAAGACAATTAAATAGCAGAATAGGCTAAAGCAATGCATACTACATTTAAGCAAAATGCACCAATTGGTGGTTTTCTGCCCTAAGAAATTCTAAATACACATGAGGAAGAAAAAAAGAAAAGCACAGAAAGCCTAACAGAGCAAAAGCAGCTGGGGAGCAATGCAGTGACTTACTTCTGCAGCATGGCTTGCCACTCGCCTAGTCTGTCTCCTATGGGAAACCGCTTAATGGTGCTTTGGATCTTTGCTCGCCACTCCCTCATGTAGTCCTCAATGTCAAACACAAAGGGCTGCTGCCCAAAGTTGGCATCGACTATCTCTCCTGGAGTCTGCAGACCCACTGTGGGGTAGAGATTCGACTGTGAAAAAGAAAAAAAAAAGAATTTACATTAATTCTCAGCTTTCTCTTTTCTGGTTTCAGTTATGTGGCTTAGTAGGACAAAAGAGCTATTCTCTAAACGGAAACAAGTGATAGAAAAAATCAGGCATCAGTCCTCACAGAGGTAATTCTCAGGGCAGGCAGCCCATGATGGATCACACAGTTATTAAAATTTACTGCATAAAATGAGAACAATGGGCTAAATCCCCTGCTACACTGCGATCTGGGTCACAGATGCTGCCTGTGGCATGTCCACCTTCTGGTTTATTTCCCTGCTATTCCTGTAAAAGTTCAACAGCCAGTTAACAAAAGTAATAATAATAATAATAATAATAATAATAATAATAATAATAATAATAATAATAATATAAAAAACATGGGACCATGACTTCAATCATCAGGTCTATGTGTTCTCCACTGCCTCAGCTGAGCTCTCTTACTTCTTGACAGGAAGCTGCTATCAGAACATTATACAGCTCTGATAAGAAGGGAATGGAGACTAGTAGAGCTGCAAGCTTAGGCCTTTGATGATCCCAAGACAGCAAGTCATCCACTGATAACTGAATTTCCTTTTTGTTTAAGACCACTCTTATGGATACAGCTTGAAGCTCTGAACTTCCCTGAAACGCGGGGAAAGCAGAAAGGTTATCAGCGTGAAAATATCGCTGTAATTCTGCCAATAATTCAGCTTGCAAGAAGATGACCTGACTAAAAATAGTCCGTCAAAATCTGCAGTTTCATTGAATTCGGGCTATTCTAAAGAGCAAGCACATGGATACAAGCTGAAGCTTTGAGGGTTCCCTGTCCCCTGATGTGGCAGAAAGGGCCCTAGGAAAGGTCCAGAGTCGCCAGGCTTTCTCTCGGGAAACCTCTTTCAACAGCATCTTCCAAAAGTCACCTAACTTTGGTACAGCGCACCTCACTTTTCTGTTTGCCGTGCAAGCACACTTCACAAGCACACATCCTCTTATCCACACCGTCTGCCGATTACTGCTGGGCTCGAGAGGAAGCCTCTTCCCTGCCACCGAGGAGTTCCTTGGTGTTGGGTTTTCCTGCTTTGCTCTAAAGTAAGCACTGAAGACTGTTACAAACTGGTACAAACAAGACACTGGGCGAAGCACACTGATGAATCTAGTGAAATGAAACCTGGAAGATGCTGGCTGAGCTGTCCTGCTCACGGCTGCACCCCTGCCAGTCGTGCAAACTTTCTTAACCACATTCTCCACCACTGCAGAGACCTGAGGAAATGCAATTAAACTCCACTTGGGACATCCCTGAGTTGTGTGGTTTACTATTTACTGATGGTGTTAAGATTGTTATGAGGTGAGAAATAGCAGGATTAGCAAAAATGGAGACAGAATGTCAAGGGAAATGGTTATTCTTCCCTGCCTGGCACTTGTGTGGCTGCTACTGAAACCCTGTGCCCAGTTTTGCCCCTCCTGCTCCTGAGCGCTGGGAGACCTAACACAAGATTCATAAACAGGTCTGGTCCAGCAGAGGTGTCCTGAGATGATCAGAGGCCTGCGGCACACGGTGCACAAGAAGAGGCTGAGGGAACCGTGTTTGTTTGGCCTGGAGAGGAGCAGGCAAAATGGGAAACCTCACTGAAGTGCCGCACTACCCAGAGAGAGGCTGTAAAAGGGCAGCGACGGATGTTCAATGAAAGCAAACCAAGGGTTTAAGTTGCAATCTGAGAAATTGCGATGGGATGTTAGGAAGATAGTCATTGTGTGGGTGGGTAAGGACTTGAGCAGTTTCTCAGAGAGGCTGTGGCATGTCTATCCTAGAAGATTTTCAAAACTCAGCTCAATAAGGTCCTAAAGAAACCACTCTAGCTTTGCAATTAGCCTATCTCCCAGCAGATCATTAGACTACACGATCTCCAAAGACTGATAATCTGAGAATCAAGGCTTTATGGAATAATAATAACGATAATAATAAAGTAATCATCTATCCCTATAAACAGGCTACCACGATCAAGGGGAAAATTCTCATTTTGAGAAAACCACAACACAACTGCTAAGCAGTTCCTTCCAGTCCAGGATTTCATACAGATACTCCGATACCACTGCACATTAGTTCCTTCTTCTTTCCGCCTCCACTTTAGAAGTGTATGGCTGGTCCTACGTATATCTGGAATCTCAAATATCAAAGGAAAAAATGAATCTACAAATGCAGGCTGGGACATGGACTAGTAAAACAGGATAACTACATTGCTGCTGTGCCTGCAGAACTCTTCCTCTTATATTTTCCAGCCCAGGGAGCTGGTGGGTTAGTCAGTTGTGTAAAGAAAACATGCATGACAAATGAGAAGCTACCAAAAGGTAACATCATATCTCTGGTTAGGCTCTCTTCTTTGGGTGACAGGTGACAAAACAGAAATATTCCTAATGAGGAATCATATCTTTTCCACTAGCCGTACCTCAGACTTCCTAACTGTTTGGTATTATGAACACAGAAACTTCCACAGCCATGAACGAGACCATGAAAACACTGAGGTGCTGAAGGCAAAACCCCGAGCCCCAAGGTACCACCTGTTTTGCAGACACTTCCCAGCCTGGTCATCCTTGCAGGGAGGATGTCCACCCCAACTAGTCTCGCTCAGCTCAGCTCAGGGTTGGAGTTCCGTTTTGCACACAGGGCACACGTTCTGCTTAGCAAGGTCAGCAGCTACACAAACCCCCGTCGCCTTGCCACATGCAAGGAGACACCTAGGACCTGGGAGCTGAGGATTCTCCAGGCAAGCTCCTCACACATGTTCACGGCAACTTCAGAACCACCCCTTCCCTTCGATGATGATGGCCATTCCTCATATCCTCCTGGTTCCTTTTGCCTTTTTTTTTTTCATTTAACTGCCTCCTCCCTTCAGCGTCCTGGAAGCCCGGTCTGGCCTCTTTGACATTCTTTTTTTCAGATTTCCTACTCTCCTCACACTTGTTTTAGCAAAAAGCCAGGAGCCATAAACCTGAAATGGCCTTGCACAAAGGAGCGAGGTCAACAGGTAAATTTAACATGACATGTTTATTTAACTGCTTGCAGACAGAAGTGAATATCCCACAAAGAGAGTTTTGCCCTCTTTGTGGGATAGTCACTTCTATCTGAAAGTAGTTATTTCTCTACTAAGTTCAGCCTGTGATAAGCTGAAATGCAATTTTTTTCAATCAATGTAAATAAATTCATATAAATTTAAGCAGCTTTCAGAGCGAACTGAAGACGTGAACAAGCTGAAACAAGTACATTTCATTGAGTGTCAGAATTATCACAAGGAAATGAGGTTTTCAATGCACACTGTCCATTTCAGCTGCCTATTGGAAACGCACGTAGGGCAGCTCAGATCAGAGAACCTGAAGGTCATTACACAGGTTATTCGGGGAGGAGCACTGCTCCCATCCCCATTCGCAGTCAAGTTTTAGACTCATGCATACCTTCTGCATGGCAATCGTTCTCTCTTCTTCACCTTGAAGTGAACTGATACTGCGTTTCAGTCTAAATCACAATGCTATAATAAAAGTATTACTTACTTTTGCTTACTAAAAGTTTTATCCACTTCCAGTTCCCTACTACATCAAGACCTTATGATATCTAACTAGAATCTTTAGAATTAAACCAAAAGACTAACCTGGGGTTGAGGCCCCCCTCTCTAAAATGAGCAGTGTCCTTAACTGTCTTGAAGAAAACCAAGATAGAGGAAGTGAGTGACACAGGAGCTTACAACAGGGAGGGAAAAATGAAATAACTCAAGGGAAGGATATCTGAAAAGGAAGAGGAGAATGACAGAAATTAGTGGCAGGCATCCTTAGGATGAAGCTGTTAGCAGAGCAACCGAGCCACCTGGAGAGGACTACCTCAAGTTCAGGAGGCCACAGCTGGCATCCAAAGCTAGGGGATGGAATGACCCTGCTAAGTCTCTCGCCCTCCTCCTGGACACCACTTATCTCATGGTGTGCAGTTCTCCACAGCAAATCTATGGGACATTCACACTTCTCTTTTCCAGCTCAGAGGGAAAAAATAACAAAACAGCATGATGGATTTGTTGCTGCTGTAAAATGCAGCAGCAAAATTCCAACGGGAAAACGAAAACACTAGTGTAAACTGCATACCTCTATATATTTGAATAGAACACGTGGCAAGATCTTCCTCCTGTTCAACATTAAAACTTAATGTCCTCCCTGTAGGACACATGCATGAACAAATATCGCATCCTGCAAAGATTATCTGGTGAGACCTAGAAATGGAAGGATAAGGGGAGGCTCTAGACTCCAAGGCCTTTAATCCAACCTCAGCAGCACGGGCAGACCTTGCTACTGCAACGCCCTTCTGTGGGTTCTGTTCCAGTGAATCTTCCTCAAACTATTTATAGCAGAGACTTAACATTGCTTGAACGGCCTGCAAGGGGACATGACGTTTACACATTGGTCACTGTGTAACCTTGGGTGAAGAAACAAAGGACAGATAATCTCTATCCAGAGTAAAAAGGAAGAGCAATAAACAGAGGGGGTGTAGTGCAGACATCTCATCCTGCGATCTCCTGTGGCAGATGAGAGGCTGCCACAAGACTTTCCACCACAAGGTCGGCACTGATGAACTCTCTGTTATTCTACTTCATTTGGACCAAGTGAATAAAATATTATGAAATTGAAGTAACCCCCAGAAATAGAACATTGGATGCAATATCAAAAGCCAACAAGGATGTTTTCCCTTGAATTTCTAGGAACCATAATGGTCTCAAAGTCAGAAGTTACGGGGATACTAAGAGGACTTGCCTTGGAGCCAAAGACCAAAATGGTCTGCCGGGAAGTACCTGCTTTATCAGCTTTAACACTTTAAATATATTCTGTCCTTTCCACGACATCGGAGCTGTTCCAAGTACAGCCTAATCTGTGAAATGAGCAGTTCCACACTGCTTGAACTCTGAAGCAACACCCGACAGAGGGGAGCCCTTCACAGAGCAGCAGAGACCGCCTGAAGTTACAGAAGGGGCTTCTCTCTGCAAAGACTAAGTAACTGGACCTCCTTTGGGAGAGACACCAAGTGGGCTACGGCACAGGTCTCTAAAGCCATAAATTACATGGGGAAGTGAACAGTGTTATTCATTAGTTCTCACAGCACACAAACTACAGGCAACAAATAACATATACACAGGAGGCGTAAAACAAGGAAGAGCAAGTATTTTCCACACAGCAAAGGTGGCAGTCAAGAAATTTGATGCCTGTGGAAGCCAAAAGCATAAACCTGTTATGAAGACTGTGCAAAGCTTCAGCTCTGCACAGGAAATTCATTTGGGGTTCTTCACAGGCAGGAGTGCGGCCCGGGGGCCAAGGAGTTCTGTGTGCCACTGGACTCCGTGGACTGCTAAATATTTAAACCATTTCCATCTTCTTTTCTGGAATACCTGCTCCTGCTATAGGATCCTTGGTCTAGGCAGGGCTTTGGTCTGAGAAGGGCCTTTCCCCCTCATCCACTTGCTACTGCTGAGAAAGCCAGGCTCTTCTGAGAACACTGTAAAACCTCCTGGTAAAACCTCAGTCGGTTCACCTGCGCTCTGGAGGAATTCAGCCGTGGCTGGGGAGTCAGAGAACAACCATCAACCCTGAACAGATGCGGAACACATTGCTGTAGCGATTCCATGAGCTGCTGACTGTTCACGGCAGGAGTCCAGCCAGAAACCACTCATGGCCAGCCAAGCCCAAGCCTCTTCCAAGGAAATACCCTTCCCTAACAAGCTCGGAAAAGGAAGGCCTCCATTGCTGCAAAATTTGGACCAGAGAGGAAGGAGGAGATGTAAACATCTGAGGCATTTTTGTGCTTTCTGCTGCAGGAGACGAGCGGCCGGCTGCTGGAGCAGTGAGCGCTCCCGTCCCGCGTTCCCCCCGCCAAGGCTGTGCTCGGAGATAGCGACCTGAAACCACGTGTCAATCCGTGCCTTGATTCCCGGAAAACTCCTGCTGCTGGCGAGGGAGGACGGGAGGCCGTGAGCAGCCTGTATACCTAGCTGTAGAATCACGACATTTCAGGGAAAAAAAAGCACGCTTACATCCATAAAATTCATTTTAACAGGGCATCAGACAAAATATAGCACACCCCCAAACTCTTCCCCCTCCCTTGTATTTGCTTCCTTAGTTAAAATACTGAAAATAGGTGTACTTACAGGGAGGTCTGTAAAGGCTATACCTGTGGGGGGAAAAATATTAGAATTAAAAAGACAAAGGATTTTTTCCCTACTTGGCTACAAAAAGTCAGTACATTTTCACCACATGAGCTCTGACCGTGCATTTAACCATCTCTTATATTTATAAGCAGCTTCCCTCCCCAACCCGCTCCTCTGCAAGGATTTGCATCTGGGGGAAAAAAAAAAAATTCATGGAAAAGACTGAATTTCTCAGCTATCTCTCCTAATATTCTGAGCTTACAGAAAGTAGCTCCTCTTTCTTTGCTTCTCTCCCTGTTCCCGAAGTCAATTTTGAAGATTCACTTTGGTTTCAGAAAGAGAACTCCTATAACGTTGTTGTCATTTGGTCTACAACTACTTCTTCTTACCGACCAGAAAAACAGTATGAACATTAAATATTTTCCATTACTACTGAGAGTTGGTCTTGCAGCAAGACCAAGCTGCAGCTTGAAACGCCTTCTGAGAAATAATGTGCAAAGAACACCTTCCTCCTCAGTTATGCTCTAACAAATATAAGAAATGGGAAAAAGCAGCGTACGCTTTTGCTTTTTTTTAATTTTCATTTGATACAGCAGGGAAGAGATATCACGTACATAGAGGCAGATGCCTAAAGTTGATAAAAAAAAATTGCAGCCAGAGGTGCCAGAAAACACTTCGAGCTGCCAATATAACCATGCACTTAGGGGGAGTTTGCAGAACCCTCCCAGGAGCCCGAGGGCACCGCCTGACCTGTGAGGCTTTTCATTCCACTTAGACGTGAGCTGCCTCTGACAGGAGGGTGCCCTGCCTCCCTGCTCCATGGTGTGTGTCCTGCCATGCGCCTGATGTTGAATCCAGCAGTTGGGGGCGAGACAGATGGCCTACCTCACCCCAAGGCAGCCCCAAGGAAAGGGACCAGCAGTAACAGCTGCCTTCAGCAAGATCTAGTGCCACTAAACTAAGCCACTCTGGACACAAAGGCTCAACAACTAACAATAAATCACAGAATCACAGAATGCTTGAGGTTGGAAAGGGCCTCTGGCCATCTTCGAGACCAGCCCAGCCTGCACTAGCACAGGTCACCTAGAGCACATTGCACAGGTAAGAAAGACTGGATCCCCGCCTAAGAAAGAAAGGGTAACAGAGACTGGGGTGGATCAGACGTTTGCGCCTTGTTGTAGAGGTGTAAAATGGCAGCAGCCCCCAAAGGGCACTAAAGGCCACCCCCAAAGGGCAGTAAATGCCACCGACAGCCGCAGAGCAACCCCCACCTCTGAGTCACTCTCATGGCCTGCTCTGAGGAAACGGTTGCAACGCACTCTTCACCTTACCAGGTTAAGCCCAAGCAAAGTTTCAAATCACTGTTTTGGGAATCCCGGTCCCACACACACGTTCTGCTCAATTCCTCCTGCCGCGGGCAGGGGCAGGCTGCTGTCCACACCAACATAACCACCTTTGCACCTCGCCCTGGAATCCACTTTGTGCCACGGTGAGATGCGCGCCAGCCTGCACAGAAGCAAGAGCGTGTAACACTCCTTGATGTTGAGACCTGTTGAGCACTAGTTAGCCTGGGCCCAAGAGCTGCTACGTACCATTACCAAGCAAGCCTGAAATGATAGCTTAGGTTAATTTTTAAGAGGCAAAGAAGGAACTAAATAATCCCCATTTGAGAAAGAGCCAATCAGGGTGGCTGAGGCCCCCCATGAGAAGCAGGGCCTGCTTCCAGCTGTCTGTAGAAGACCTCGCTGCCTTCCTCCTCCTGACCATGCAGCCTGCAGCAAACACCCACCTCACGGGGGCCCTGTTGGCCCGCCTCTTGTCCTCACCCACGGCTCTCAGGCTGCGCTTCGTCCACCCCTAGGCCACGCTCAATGCATTCCGGTTGCTCCCTCATACAAAGAGCAACTCCACCACCTCCTCAGCCCGGCCTGTTTCTCCTGTAACACATTCCAGTCATGTGAGCTGTCCTGCCACGTCTCTGCAGCTGCAATGAGGCCACGGCCCTGGAATTGCACGCAGATCCCCAGTTCTTCCTGTTTATTTCCCATGCTTGTGCATCGGGATACAGGCACTTCCCAGGAAGGGATGCTCCACGGTCATGTCCCACACGCTGGAGGCATCTCAATTCCTGCTTCATTCAGCTGGCCACCCTGCCTCTGTAACTCTCTCCTTGCCCCATCTTTCCTAGTTTAAAGCCCTCCTTACCAGGTTGGCCAACCTAATGGCAAAGACACGCGTGCCCCTCTTAAGGAGGTGGATCTCATCCCTCCCCATTGGTTTTCAATCTTCAAAACAGGATCTGAGGGTTGTAGAAACCTAAAACCTGCTCTACACAACAGCAGTGCTGCCTGTGGTTCACTTATAAAATCTGTTTTCTTCTCCTCCCACCCTTCCCCCTCACTAACAGGGCTGAGGAGAAAATGCCCTGGGCTTCCAGACCCGTGACAATCACCCGCACAGTTCTCAGAGCTTCTTTGATGGTTTCCAATTTGCCGCTGATGATATTAGTGCCCACACATAAGAGAAGCAGATAGTAATAGTTACCCACATGGACAAGCCTTGACAGTCTATGGCATTTCTGTCCATCTCTCTTAATTCACACTCTTAACGCATCTATCAACTTATCATCTTTTCTGTGGCAACGACTTTGCTTAGAGCTTGTCCAAAAGTGTTGTCAAGATCCAGAAGATGTTTAAGAACTTCATAGAACAGAGAGGTAAGAGTGTAAGATCCCTGGGACACCTACAAACAAAATGCAAGGCCTAGCTCCAACCAGAACACCCCAAATGTGCAATGGCCAAGTTCTTACATATTGCTCATGATGGGTCTGATTATATGGAATAATACGGAGACAATGGATAGATAGAATAGATAACAAACCAAAGAAAAATGAAGGGAAAAAAAAAGAAGAGAAAAAGAAGGGAGAAGAGAATCTAAACAACAGATGAAGAGGAAAGAAAGAAAAAGCTGAAGGGAGAATACTAGCCTGCCCTATTCTTTAAGGAAAGGGTAGAGCTCCAGCATTTCCCTTAAAAGCAAAGCACATTCCAGTGCCCAGAGGCAGGGCATCGAAATCCAGCTTTCAAACTAACTGGCATCACAAAGGAGCTTTTTGACTTCAAAAATATTTTTGATAACTATAGCAAAACTACACAATGACCTCTTTTCCTGACAGGAGATATATACAGTTAAAGATGCTGTGTCAGGAAACACAAAGGAAAAGCACATTCATGCCCCTTCTGATAAACCCTGGGCTTACACAACACAGAAATGAGATACTCTGCTCAGCGTTAAGTATCATGAAATGTTCAAGAGCTTCATGGAGCTACTTCTACTTGAGCACAAAGGCTCTTGACTTGCACGCTCCCAAGTGAATCACTGATCTTGTCTCTATCGCGTCTTCAGTTCTCCGCTGACACATCTCACCCCTCCTCTCCCAGTGACAATGAGAATCTGTATCACAGTCAGACAACCAGTATCTGTGGTTATGGAAACCTCAGATACGCCCTCATGAGCGCTAAATGAGAAATATTTCTTTTCTGAAACCCTGTGTTTCTCTATTAGTGGCCTAATTATAGTTTTCCGGCCCTTAACAGCAGTCTTATCTGTCTGAAGTTTTCATTTTGACTTTGTGAGAAAACACTGAAATGTTCTGGCAGCAGCAGCAGCCAGCGCAGCAGTGGCTGAGAGCCTGCTGCTCCCCAGCACTTGAATGACCCTTTCTTCTACACACATCAGGACTCCTCTCTGAGCACAATCACGGTGCTGCTACAGCTGAAGGAGGGGCTGGTAAATGAACTGAATGAGTCTTGAACGTTCAGGAGCTTCTCCCACCCCTAATTTTCTCATACGTTTCTCTGTGGATGTCTGAAAGGCCCAAGAGAAGGATAGCCAGGACACAATGTTGCTGATAATCCACTGCTGTTCCGTAGGAAGAGTGTAATTTAATTCCTTGTCTTTCCTACTCCTTCCCACAGGCCTCGTTCACAGCTGGGGTAGCATCAGATTAAAAAAGGTAAGTTTTCCATCAAAGAGAAAATCTTTAGAAGAAAAAAAGCATTAAAAATTAGGAAGATTAAGCCCTTTCACTGGGGCAAACACCTCCAAATGTCCTGAATGAAACAAAACACTGGGCAGCACCTGAGAGAAAGAACGAGGATATATGTATTGTATGAAAGAACGAGGATTATATGTAATAATGAAAAGTGATGCAAAAGTCACTGAATTGTTCTCTCTGTTTTGCCACCCTTGTCTAGGCACCATGACTTCAATGTGGCTTATATGGTTTTAACAGCAGTGTGGATTAAAAGCAAAACAAGTGCCTTCACTCTCAGAGGATTTCAGCTGATATCCTCTCTACTCTGCCAGCTCCTGGCAACTGAAGAGGTGTTATATTTCAAATGAGCAAACTGTGTGCATTAAATAGAAGGCCCGGCTTCTTCTCGGCTAGTATGTGTTCACTGTGGAGGAAAGGAACAGCACTGTGAGGCTAAAGAACTGTGAAGCTGGAAACGCACCTACCCGAAGGTGAGCACCCATGGTGAGGGGCATAGCACAGACCACCATACATACTCAAAATCAAGGACAGTAACCAGAAGGAGAGATTTTGTGAAATCTCTTTGACTGTTTCAGCACCTTAATCCCTGCGGCACGGTGCACTCATCTAACTCCTAGGCAGCAGCTCCTGTTCTACTTGACCAGCTGCTGCTTTCACATCTTCTGGTCTTCTCAGGAGTGAAGAGGTCAATGCCCACAGATTATGAGTTAAATTTAAAATCATCCAGCTACTAAAAATCTGGGCAATCCACTAATACACAGAGTACAAAAGATTGTGTAGCCTGTGACATCCTTTGTGACAGGTCTTGCTAGCTGATAAGACTGAAATTCCCATCCAGAGTCCCCTACATCACAGCTGGTCTGGCCGACAATTAATCGCAACTTCAGGAAAGAAGCCAGATTCTTACAGAAACATTCTCAGCTCTGAGTAACACCCCACAGGGCTTCTGATAAAGGTCCAATTTATGATATCAGAATGCTTAAAATAAATCTTAAAGGATGGCTGATTTTTTTCTCCTTCCATTCAGGGCTTGAGACCTCTTGACCTGCTGCAAAGCATGAGAACTATTTGCTGAATTCACTATTCACTATTACTGAATTAACCTAAAAAGCTTCTGGGAACCCACGTGCCTCATTTCTAAGTCAAATATTTCCTCACCTATTAACGAATTGGAAGAAAACTGAAAGCCATTCTCTGAAGAAATTCCACCTGCATGAGACTGAGGCCTTCTTACATCTGCCTCAAAAGAAGGAATTCTATTGATATGAGGGGAGGAAAAAGGATCTCATCTCAGACTGCTGTCTCCAGTATACCTGCAACATGACTTCTTCCTTCTTCCACCAAGATCTCAACAAAACTTCTGTGCTCTGCAGGCTGCACACACTGCTCTGCAGCCCCATTCCTTCCCACTCAGCCACTCAGAGAAAAGCTCTGTTTTTCCCGATAAAGGTTTTGCCTGCGGTATTTTTCTACCTGCGTCTTCATCTTGAATTCCATCAAGAAGAACTGATGCAGCGAGGAGAGGCAAAGGAAAGCAGTGCTCTTCCCCTGCCCGACACAGCGAATTCCTGCTCAGGAAGGGAAACGATCTCATCAAAATAAACTGTAGTGACCAAACAAATGATGGAGTTAACCAAGGGTGGAGTGGAGAGGGTCATCCATGAAGGAAGAACTTTTCAGATGCAAATGGCTACAACTTAATATTCCAGACAAATCAGATCCCATGGATGCCTGGAAAAGGTCTGTGAGGTATTTATTTGGGTAAAATCTGAAATTCCTTAGCTTCATAGGAAATACTGAGATGGCTGTGGAATGAACCAAATTATGGATCAGTGCTTCAGATTAGCTTCAGTGTAAGACATTTCACACTGAATGAATGTCTAGCTCTCAGGTTACTTGCACCAATGAGTTAAGGCTCAAAGAAGTCCATTTAAACAAATCCATTGAAAGAAGTGAAAAGCCACTGAATGACACAGCAGCTTTGTCATTAGTTCTAAACAAACTTCCCACTTCTGTGCTACCCTCCTGCCAAGCATTAACTGTATTATCCAACTCTACCACCAGCTGGCCAGTCCCAGAAAAAAGGGAGCAGAAGCTAGGAATGCAATCCTAACCTAGCTAAAGAAACTGAGTAGTACAGCAGCCACTTCACATGCTAGAAATAATTGTGTCTTGGAGGCACCTTAAAGCTCCTGACTTCTGCTGAGTCTTGTTTTCTCCTCCTTTTCTTCAATCTTACCCACAAATGTAGGACAATAGCTGATAAACATGCAAAGTGGTAGAGTAAATGCCAGAGAAAGCAGGGCAGGAGCCTCCTCCTCGCAGAAACACCTTTCTCTGCTTACCTAAACTGTGGCCATTTTTCGTGTAGAAGCAGGTGTTGTTGATAAGGTTGACGCAGCAGCCAATGACATCTCCAGTTGTGAACGTGGGGCCGTAGGGCTGTCCTGTCCCCGAGGAGCAGAAGGAGTGGCCATCATCACCGTGATACCCGTAGGAATGTTTATCCCACCCTGCGGAAGAAAAAAGAACTTGTCAACGACAAAGCTGGTTTAGAAGTGACGGTTCTGAGGACCCAGCTTTCTAGCAGGAAACTGGAGATGGTGATTACCACCCCCAATTCACTCCGAGTTGGAACAGAGACTGAAAGCATCGATTTTCCTAGAGTAGTAAGTGAAAAGAAACTAATTTTCATCACTCGAAATGCATCATTGATGTTTCAGCTTCATTTATCGTTTATCAATGAAAATTTCCCCACTAACAACTGATACCTCCAGTTAAGGCAATTTCCCTCATCCAGCACTACACTTATCATATGCAGAGTTATTTTTGCCAACTTAAATGTTGTACAGGAGTGAATCTGGTTCCTGACACAATGCTAAATGAACTAAATCTATGTCATCAGGTTTATCAAATCAAATCACCACAGTCATCTTAAAAAAAGCCAGCAGGTTTGTTCAAGAGAACTTATTCTGCTTTCTATGAACACAAGCCGAGTGGCATTAATTATATGTGTAACCTGTAGTTATTTACCAAGCAAAGAATCTATCAGTACCCTGGAATTCTATCCGGGATAGGCATCGGGGAAATAACTCACAGGTCATTCCAGCACTAGCAAAGCCCACAGCCCTGGAATTCCCTAGCTCAACACACGCATTTTACAAACACGTCCTCCTGCTTCTCAAAAGGGAAAAATACCTGTTGAATACGAACGTTTCTGCGTCGTTAATAACTTGCTATCGCCACCTAGGAATAGCTCCGTGTTATTACAACCGTTTCCTTGACTGGAACTAGGCTGCTCACACCTCCAGTTCCCCCATAGCTCTTCCTTTTAAAAATCTTGACTGTTTTAACGTGGGCTGAATCCGACTTCCCAGATGCCTCCCACAGCCGTCATAAGGCACCATCGTTCCTGAACTACTTCCAGAGGCTGCTGTTAAGATGTGGAAGGCTGTTAAGATGTGTTAAGATGGGATTTCACCGGCACGTTCCTAAAGGGCCGCCACACTGCACCCCACACTGGGCCAGGCCAGTCTAGACAGGCCTTGCCCAACAAGCAGCTGCCTAGGACGGAGCATAAGAACAGAGTGGGCCTAAGTCACAGCCTCCCTGAATGCAGCCTCCCTGCCACCTCCCTCCAGATACACCAACCAGAGAGATTCCATGGATTTAGGGACCCTCTGAAGATCTTCTTGCTGGGAAATTCGCCCCTCTTCTCCCGAGCACACACGAACACGCACCCTTCACAGGACCTTGCAACGAGGATCTTCTCAGCTTAACTGCAAACTGTGGGAAAACCTCCTTCTCACCATTTTCACTTCATACCCTGTAGTCCTTGCACTGGAGAAGACGGCAAACTATTTATTATCTCTCTCCAAATTATATACAGCTATAAACACCTCTACAAACCCCTCCATAATGATCATTTTTCCCAGAAAAACGAATACCAGCTTATTTAGCTACCCCTGTGTCCCTGATCATCTTTTCTAACCCTTCTCCAGGTGTAAAGATTCTGCCAAGGTGTTCTTCAAGGTCTTTGTTCACCAGCTTTATTGGATTTTTACAGTGCGTGACCCTTTTCTACTTTCTGCATTAGGACATCACTTCAGCTTTTTGATGAACGCCTCCTAATTCTCAATACACATCTTTAATCCACCCATTCAAACACACTGGCATCCTTTTGCCCTTTCTCGTGTCTGTTTTTGATATATGCCATACACTTGCATTATGCTTTCACAGCCAAAAGCACCTGAAGGCCTGTGCTGATGCAATTACACTAATACAGGTGTTTGTGTAGGTTCAGCTTAATGCCACGCAGGGCAAAGGAAAATGCAAAGTTTGTACAAATTTGAGACAAAAGGCGTAAGCGCAAGAAATTATCTTCTCCACAGCAGGAATCTACGCTTATTTGGCCCTTGCATCACTCCCTCACGTGGCTTTTTCACCACGTTTCTCTGCAGCACCAGCAAACACCACAGCCCGCGTTCATGCCGAAGTCAGGGAATAACCAGGCTGCTGCCGTCCCGTGAAGCGGCTCCTTCCAGAGCAAACCTGTACTGCACTGGCAGGACCTGTACCCTTACACCCTTTTGTGAAATTTTTGCCACAAAATTCACCCTTTTGTGGTGGTCAATATCAGAAACGACCAGCAGCAGCCTGTTGTGCTTAGAACGACAATGTCTGGAATTTCCAGCAAAGCTACTGAAAAGCAGCACTGCTGGGCCAGGGCTCCATTTTTACCTTTGCATTGCGGAAATCACACGTCACGTGAGCTTTCCATTCAAGCCCTGCCAGCAGCACGTGCAGAACATCTTCCAGGAAGCACCGAGTAAAACTGGCATCCTGCGTCTGGCATCAGGTCATGCGCATGACCTGACATCGTGTACAACACAAGAGAAAGGCAACGTAAACTGCCAAGATTAATGCTTCTGTAGATGCCTCCGCCGTCCGGCTGCTCCTTCTGCAGAGGGAGTTCCTCCAAGTTCAGGAACAGAAGGCAAAAGATGGACAGGGCAACGTGGTGCAAAGGGGCTACACTCACCAGTGGGCACAGCAAAGCTGGGAAGCCAACGCTCACGGAGATCTACGCCGAGCTCCACTAGGGTTTAGGCTGCTCAGTTGAAGTCATCTGCACGTGATGCACAAATTACTGCAATGGGCAGAGCCTTGTTCACAAAATAAATTCACTGGCAACCTGAGCTCCGCTCAGGAAAACCAGAAACATTTTCTCAAGAGGCAAGGGATGTCAGTATTGGGCTGTGGAAATGGAAGTTCCTCAGGAAGAACTCCAAGGTCTTTGATTTGCAAATTTAGCTGTTGGCTCGCTGCTATATCCTGGATAAAGTCCATGAAAGCTGAGGCGGACGTGGAGGACCATTTTCCCCAAACAGGTCCTGGAGCCTGCTCTACAGGGAGTTCTTTATAGTGTATCACAGATCCCCAGGGTGGCTGAGGCTGGGAGGCACCTCCAGGGATCCCCCAGCCCAGCCCCTGCTCCAGCAGGGACACCCAGAGCACGGGGCACCCGCTCCCAGCCCGGCGCGTTGGCACATCCCCAGAGCAGGAGCCTCCGCAGCCTCCCTGGGCAGCCCGGGCCAGGGCTCGGGCACCCTCCCACCAAACAAGTTCTTCCTCACGGGCACACGGAGCTGCCTGCGCTGCAGCTGGCACCCACTGCCCCTTGGCCTGGCACCGGCCACCACCCAGAAGAGCCTGGCCCCTTCCTCCCTGCATTCCCCCTTCACTATCTTCAGATTTTGTCTATACCTTTTTCTCTCGTGTATGCAACAAAATTCCTTTTCTCTCATGCCTGTTCTTGTCCATTTGCCTCTCTCTTCCCGTTCCTCCAACCTCAGCTCCCCCCAGCTGCCAGGGGCAAGTAATAAATGGAATGAGAAGCTGAAGGCAAACAAGAACTTGCACAAACACACTGAAATAAACCAACCCCCTAAATTTTTAATAAGATTTATTGAATCCAAAGGAGAGTAGCAACAGATATTCCAACAACGTACAAACTGTTTGTGCAGTCCGTAAGGAAATGGGATTTTGAGCGAAACGCGGCGGCCGCAGCCGCTGAGCTCTGCATCCTGCCATTGCTTCCCCGGGGGCTTCAGCGGACACAAAGGGGCTGCCACAGGAAAACGGAGAGGGAAGGAGGCTCCTGCAACGTCCCGACACTGACTGCACGTGGTCTCACAACTCGGACTCCCGTCGCTGTGCAAAGCCACCGAAATCTAAGGGCAGGCAGGCGAGTCCTGGCCCCGCTTCGAGGCTTCTGATGAAGCCTGCACCCTTGCACCTTGGACAATCGACACTTGCCTCCCTGCCTAGGATGGGGATTCAACCTCCAGGCTTTCACACGCTGCTTGTGCTCATCTGCAAGGGCTGTTTGACAGTTTCTGTGCCCTCAGGGATCACATGCAAGTACCAAAACTGAGAGGGCTGGCAGAATGGGTCCTTTCCAGTATTGGATAGATAAGGTCCTGCTTCTTTGTGCAAAAAGGGCCTCCTCTGTGCACATCCACGGGAGTACGAAGGGCCTTTTCTCCATGGCTGAGAACAGGAACAGAATTGTTCCTCTCCATGGCTGAGAAAATTGCTCCTACAGTCTTCAGGAAGAAGACCACCCTTAGGGAGAAGAGCCTAGCCCCTTCCTCCCTACACTCCCCCTTCATGTCCGTATACACATCGATCAGATCCCCTCTCAGCCTTCTCTTCTTCAGGCTAAACAGGCCCAGCTCACTCAGTCTCTCCTCACACGAGAGATGCTCCAGTCCCTTCATCATCTCTGTTGCTCTGTGCTGGACCCTCTCTAGCAGCTCCACGTCCCTCTTGTCCTGGGGCACCCAGACCTGCCCCCAGTGCTCCAGGTGTTACAGGCTTTAAAGTGCTGCAAGAAGCTACAGACTTTACGTGCTGCAGAGGCCCCAGTGCTGCGGGATCCATGTGCCGCAGAGAGGAAAAGCCCCTGGTGCCACCGAGGAGCAACTTGTCAAAGCAGAGCTGGACACGAACGCACAGAGCGGCCACAGCTCCTGCAGCCCTAAACCCCGCGCGAGATAACGGTGCAGCTGCTGAAGGGACAAGGCTGGGGCCAAAGGCTCAGGCAGAAAGAGTAACCGTGGCAAAAATCAAAGGAAACACCACCACGAAACCACAACACCTGCCGTTAATAAAGGGCAGCCCAAAAAAGTCACAGAGACCCAAGGATCAAAAGGAGAGGAAGGAAGGCAAGAGAAAAGGCCAGCAAGGCGCTTGGCAGATCCAGCAGAATGTGGGTGCTGAAAGCATTCCCTGGTACATTGCCAAGTCTGTCAGCACAAAGTCAGTACTTTTCAAATTAAAGAATTTACAAAATTTCCTTTAAACCAAACTGATCTGCCATGGTGCTTTTAAATGAGACCCACACCTCCTCCTGTTTGATTGCTCCTAAATATTAAGCAGGCTTCCAAACAACAGCAAACCACCGTCAGAGTTTATTTGTTCAAAGTGATACTACTCACTGATTCATAAAGAGGGGCGAAAAAAGGCAGTAGGCTGTAGATGGAAAAACACTAGGAAAAATAACGCAGACCGTCTCCACAGAGAGCCAACCCAATCTGCTGGGTTACAACACTTGGCTAAGCAGCTAGCAAAGCTGAAGGAAAGGCAACTTGCACCAAGCTACTTCAGAGCACAACCCTCAGCTCTGTGTTCAAGAGGGCTAATTACAGAAGGGCTAATCTAACCATCACACTAAAGCAGTGCTGGACGTAGGCATGGGCATCGCACCGGGGCTTGTAAGCCCTTCGATGAACTGAACCATGGAAAACTGCAGGAGAGCCCTGGGGGAGAGTTAGGCCAGGCAAAGAACTCCCTGGTGAGCTGAGCTCCTCCTGAAAAGCAAGGTCCAAGCTGGACACCTTGAGAAGGAAGAGGCAGGGGCAGTGCTGCCTATTACCCACATTCCCATTTCCCAGATACGGGTATCCGGGTAATGCACCACCTCATCACGGTGAGTGGAAAGGCTCTCTTTTAGTCTCCCAAAACCTGGGTTACTGCCTTCAAACACTGATCCATATTTCTTTTCAGCTTGAACGTTGTGTCTAAACATCTTCTTAGAGTTACTGAAAACTCTGCTTTCACTCTGCCACCTCTCATTCAAACATGAGACCTGTGTGCCCAAAAGTTAGTCTAACTAAAAGAAAAAATAAATTAATTTAAAAAACAGGACAATCAGTACAAGCAAATGTTCAAACTGAAGTGGGCCTTAAGGTAAAACAAGGAATAACTTTTACTTTGCACAACCCTCATTTTCACATGAATTATACATAAAATTTGAGATTAAATGTAGCCTAAATTCAGGAGGTTTACTTCAATTTGGAGGTGCAGGAGTTGTTTTTGTTATTGCCCAGCTTAGAACATAGCTGATAGCGTGTCGGGTCCAGCTGCATTTGAGAGGAGCTCACATGAAGGGGGGCTCGATCATCGCTTCTGGAGGGCTCTCGACACCCAGTGTCATGGAGCCAAGATTATCTGCCCAGTTCCTCCGCACACCGTGTTGCCTTGCACCCTATCAGCTCCGAGCAGAAAGCTTGTGTTTTAAAACATGTCCCACCTAAAGGAGCTGGATGCAGCTGCGTATGAGATAACCTGATTACGGGAGGCACAGCCCAGGCGCAGAGCACAGGGCTGCAGCGGGACGCTGCGTCCGGCTGCTGCTGCTGGGCATGGCAGCCAAGGGGCACGGGAAATAGATGGCACACGTTGGCTTTTCCCATAAAAAATGTTGGCTTTTCACAAATGTAAATACCAGGTCTCCAAACACTGGAGAGATAATTCCTGATCTGTAATACAGAAAAATGAAGTTCCCTTTACACAGATCATGACGGATTGAGTTCATCATGTCCACAGAATTTCTCTAGGCAGCATGGTCTTGTGATCCCACACGCACCAGGTTCACATGCTGCAATTCACACAGCTCACTGATAAATAAGCAGTGCACAATGTGATACCTCAAGTTCACTTGGCATTTGATTTGATCCAGGGAAAAAGAATTCCACTTTCCTCACACACATTCAGCCCCATGCAGCCTGTGGGCTCTAAACCTGGACAAAACTTCTTCCTTTTCTAGCCAGATAACTCCCCTTTCCACAGGCAGGCACCTGGGACCCGGGATAAAAGATGAGGTCAGACTCCTGCTTCATCTTACACACGTACACAACCCTCTCCAGAGGGCAAAGCCGTCCAAATGGTTGGGAGCACTGGGGACACAGGGCAGGGGTTAGATGGGGAAGGGAAAAAAAAGTCTGAAAATTGTCAGAAAAGTCTGGAAATTCTGTACTTGCTGATACTGGATCATCTTGATCTAGGGCGTCCAAACCTTTCTGAAACCAGGTATCATGGCTTATGAAAAGTGGCAAAGCTTTGCCCCTCCCCTCCTTTGATTTGATCTAGTTCTGAGCAGATAAAGGCCCATAGCCCCAGTTTCCCTTCCGATGTGTACGAGTGCCAATTCGGATGCAAATCATCAGCAAAAGAGAAAAAAAAAGTCGCTGCTATGGAAGTCACTAGTGACCCAAATCTAGACCCAAATTAACTCTATTCAATTTATTAAATAAAACTTATAGCAATATTTTGCAAATTATTTTTTAAAAAGCTGCTTAACCTACTTGGAAGTTGCTACTTGCACCTATTTCCAGAAGGCAAAAAAAATTAAGTGCAAATACCACTCCACCAAACATCTCCTTTTTTCAGAATAAGGGAGAATACAAATCTGACAGGCCAATTTTCCTGTCCTTTTAAGATTTACACATATAAATAGGTCAAATGGAATTATATATTCATGCCAAAACACTTTGCTGCTTATTTTTCAAGCACAAACAGCTTGTACGTCTGAAAGCTCATTATTTTCTTAGCCTTCGTCCATTTGTTTAGTGTTCATTTCTGTTATCTGCTAAAATCATCACAGCTACTTTAAAAATACTTTAAAAACACTAGCCTAAGTCATTCAGTATTACACTCCAGCCTGGAACTCCCAGATATTAAACATTTATAGTCACGGCATTTTATTGAGACAGTCATTCTTTAACTCAAATATATAAATTCAGATCTTTCTTTCAAATGAGCATTTCACGCAGGCAAAACTAGTCTTTGCATTAACTTACCAGGAAGCCGGTTCATGTTGACCCCTTGAGCAGAAAGTCCTATTCCCATGTACCTTCAAGAAAGCAGAAAAAGCATCAGTCAAGCACCGAACAGCCAAGCCACAAGCCTTCCTGCAGCAGAAACACAGGGATAGGGAACAGAAGAAAGGAGGAAATAAGGACATTTTCTGATTTTCCGATTTTCCACTGTGGGTTTTTTTTTTTTCCCCTTGAATCAAAGACAAATGTTAATCTGCTCTAGTGACCGAGCACGTTCTGCTCTACAAATACAACTGCTTTTTATAATTGGAAAGTAATGGGCGAGCTAACAACTGAAACTGCCAAACGGCACAAACTCTGCCAAAGTAGCAGAAAAGCGAGGGAGAAACTTTGGGTGCTGTTTCCGAGGGCAAGATATGGAAGCGGGAAGCGTTGGGAAGAGGATAACACCTGATATGAAACCAAAAACCCATCTCGCTGATGGTTTCGGGAGCAGAGAATCTTTTGAAACCCACCTGAGCATTCTGTGAGCATCACGTAATAACAACCAGCAGAGTCACATAGTCCTTCCCTAAGGGTACAAAGGGCAGATTGTGGCACTGACGAGTTGAGCAGGGATCAAGAATGACACCTGCCCAACTCCTCAGGCTCGACCCTACTTTACTTTCATTCTACTGCTATTCTAATTGCTAATTTATGTTTACTAATTGATCAGCTGCCCCCTGTAACAACTGCACCGGTTAAGGGTGGGTGTTGTTATCACAAAGTCCTCGTGCAGATGAATAAAATCAACTAACTAAACCCCCTGGTTGTTGCCCCTCTGGATTATTTTGCTGTATCCTTTAATGAGCTAGCAGAAAGCAAGGAAAAAGAAAGGACTGGAAAATACTCAGCAATTAAATGCCTGTTTTCATGTATCAGAAAAATATAAGTATCCATAGGTGATTAACAAAAGAGCAAACAAAATACATCAGACATCACTAAAGAGGGAAAAAAAATATCCATCTTTTACCTATTCTCTCCCAGAAGGTGCTGGCCATGGATGCAATGGATAGTGCGACTGCACAGCAGACAAGAGGCTACCAGTGCTCTCCACTTTGTTCTCTACCCCCTCTCTCCCCATCTCTAGCATCCCATTCATTTTGGGACTGCAGATGTGCAGTGAGTCGAGTTTTCCATGCAACTATCAAGTGCAACAGAAAGATCTTGCCCCTACTCTCCATGAGGCAGCTCGGACACCTCGTTTTTGCATCAGGCTGGGATTGCTTATTCTGCCCTACATTCATTTTCCCAACAGGTATCCAGTTTAGCATCATTAGCAATAGTTGTCACTCACTCCTACCTTCACTTCCAGGTCACTTATGAATGCAGCAATCAGCAAAGCCGGTACATGCCCATCCCTGCGGGAATCCACTGGCGAGCAGCTCCGGCTGGGCACGGCAGCCAGAGCCGCTCACTCCTCTGCCGTTTCCCACCTGGCAGTTAAACTCTTAACAATTACTCAACCACACAACTACATGCTGTTCATCCCAAACTCCCGCCAAGAGTTGTTGAGGATGGACCCTGTCAAAAGCTTTTGCAAATCCAAGCAGACGAAACCTCATCCCCACGCGCATTCACCGGCTTGTCTGCTCTGCTTCTGTTGGCCTCCGTGGTCTGTAGGTCTCTCTATATCCCCCAGAACTTGAGGAACTAGTGGGATGCTTAGCCTGTTTTTAACTAACTTCCATATTTTTAGGTTGCTCCTCTTTGAAATTCAGCAAAACTACAGTTGATGGTGCTGGGGGAGGAGCTTACACAAAGTAATTATTTTTCATCCAAAAAATGGAACATAGTTATCTGATTTGATTCCAAAAATCTCCTTAATATATAGCACCACATCTTTACAACACAGCCAACATTCTCTTTCTTGTACACTTCCCAGCTTGCTAACACAACCTTCCTGATTTCAAACATCTGATACACAGGGCTGTAAGTTTTAAACGAAGCAAGTCCCCTCTTTCAACGCACACATTTTCAAAAGCATCGCAGCTCACAGGGAACCCACATCCTCCCTCCTCAGCCTGTCTCCTCGAAAAGGTGCTACAGATGTCCCTCCTCATCCCTCTTTCCGGGCCTCTGGTAAAAACAAGGGAAGGGGAAAACAAACTGTAACTGTTACAGCCACGGTCCCAGGTTCCAGCTTCCTCCCCAACAGTTCACACTCGGCACCGAGAACCCTTCTCCTGCCCTTCCCTACGTTTCCAGGATCACATGGAGCACAGACAGTAGCTCCTGTGCAGCACCTCTTTCAGAGGCCAACTTTATAGAGACCAGGCAAGTCATGATGGGCTCCCTTTTAGCTGGTCTCTGGCCTCTAAAGGTCATCCCCAGTGAAAAATAATACGTTCCTGTCCTTTGACAGGTGAGATCTGCCATCACAGCTCTCTGCACCAGCTTGTTGTTCTCTTGCCAGAAGATGAGGGGCGTTCAAGTTCAAAGCTTCTTGGGGTGGATTCTGACAGCTGGGCTAGGCCGGTGTTATACTGAGCTACAACAAAGCATGGCAGACCGGGTATTTCTGCTCTCACCGTATGTTAACTACACACCTGCACAAGCACTGGGGTAAGAGCGACAAACTCCCAAGGGAGCTTTGGCAGCAGGCCTTTCAGAAGCAGCAAATTACAAGGTTTGAGCTTCTGAGCACATGCGGGGCAAATAGGTTTACTTCAGAGCCTCACCAGTCGCAGAGATCACCAACAGGCTTCAGGACAGTTGGAAGGACCTCCTATTTCTTGCTTAGGAAGGTAAAGTAACTGAAGAGCTTCGTGAGCCTTTCCAAGACACTCAGGAAAGGCACGTTTTGCTGCGTGACCGTGTTTGGTATCAGTGCTAAAGGCCCACAGCCTTTAGCAGGCTTCTTCCTTCCTCACGGGCACACGGAGCTGCCTGCGCTGCAACTGGCACCCATTTCCCAACTTGGAGCGCTGCAGAAGTGAAGGTCCTGGTTCATGTCACACCACCCCAAGGTCTAGGACACCGACAAGAAACACCTCCGTTCTAGAGCAGGTGCCCTAAGCTCTTAGATGTGACTGTCCCCACTCCCAAGATTATCCTCATGAGGGAAGGAGCTCAAGGGTACCACAGACTAACAAAGTCCATCAACGCACGTACCCTAGAGCAGAGAGGCAAGAAGCAACAGAAGAGTGAGGAGGGAAGGCCTGACTCAAAACTAAGTCCTGAGGTAAAAGCTTTAAGGCTAATACTAGCACTGTTTCAAAACGTGTGTGAACAGGGCAGAAACACGGTAAGAATTTGGGGCTTTTGTCCCCAAATGCAAATTTGCAAAGAACTATATGATGAAAGAGCTATTCTCTTGGCTCTGTAATCTAGTAAAAACAGAAGATTGGTTCCATCTGAGAAGGAATGTGATTACTTCTCGCACCCTTATACTAGAACAAAAACGGGCCCACTGGAAGCAAGGCTTTGTAGGCAAGCACTGCACCCGCAGTTAGGAGCTCAGCTACCTCATTGTTTATAACTCTTGAAGATCAGGTGACCCTAATGATTTATCACCCTCTTTTAGTGATAAATGTTGCTGTATTAACTCTTTCACAGAAGGCAGATATTACTTAAAAAAAAAAAAAAATGTTGGGAGCCTCGGAAGATTTGTCCATACTAAGCACATTTGAAATACAACTTTTCTACCATGACGCTCTTCTGAGCTCTTAAAAAAACCCTTTAATAATTTCTTGTCCTTGCAGACTCTGGCTTGTTTGTCAACCCTAGTGTGACAAAAAAACCTTTTTTTTGCTAGTGATTCTTAGAGGGTTTTAAACATGTGCTTATGAGATCTACAGAACTTATAAACAAGCACATTTTTGAAACACCTCTTGCACTGTTCAGACCATGAGTCAGAAGTTATTTCCTCCCGTGACCACTGTCCCTGACAGTCATTTACAGTCTCTAAATACTTAGCCTCAACCTCACGTTCTGACGTGATGTAAGTTACGTAAACACAATCCATGAAGGCCAACCAAAAGTTGGAGGGTGTGTTTACAACCTGCCAGGCAAGATAGGGAAGATTTTTCCTCCTCATCTCCAGGGCGCACTCCAGTTCTTCCTCATCACCTTCCTCACGCCTTTTCGTAAGACAGACTGTCCTTGTCACCATTTCAATTCATCTCCTCCCAGGTCTGAAACACCCGGCAGCTTAAGAGCTTTCCACGTAACACAATTTTTTGCTGTTTTGATCTCTTCAACCGTGTCTGCTGGCAGTGAGGCCTACAGGGACCACCCCACATTAGAACTAAACTGCAGGTCTACCCTGTGTCAGAGGGCAGTGAGGTGCCACCTCTCCCGGCTGTTCCCCCCCCCAGAACTGCGATCCAGAGCTCAACGTTCCCAAGTGTTTGAACGTACAGATAAGGCACCCACTAAGTCTTGACCAGTAATACCAGAGCATTTGGACCTGGCTTTGGCACTCTTGGAAAACACCACGTACAGAACTCACTCAGATCCCTCAAATTACCATGGCGAAATGACCCTCCCCACCTTCTCCAAAGCACACGGGCAAGCCCAAGATTTCCTGGATTTGCTGGGTACAGTCAGATTCTGCTTGACGAGCAAGACATGCCTCTCAGGGTACGGAATATTTCTTGTATCCTGCTCCATCCAGCTGAGCTGGAGGTGAAACCTCCCAAAGCTGGGCTCCCCTTGTCTTCTCTAGCACAGCTTTGGCATGGGTTGAGCTCAGCTTCTCCAGCTCCAGTATCACAGGGCACAGCTTTCTCCACATTGGCCACTTCTGCCTCCTACCTGCCTGCGGGTGCTTTCCTGCTCCTCCTCCTCCTCCATTCGTGTTGCTGTGCACGCTGCTGACATCAGCGCATCTGGAATTTAACAGACGCCACGTGCGCGCACATCCCTGGCACTGACGGGGTCCGATCCATCTCCATCCCTCGAGACCCAGTGACACTCATGGCATTGCACTGTCACCATTCTGGTGACCCCGCTGAGCAAACATTTGGAAATTATAACAACATAATTACTAGGTACTGATTAAACAGGTCATCTCCCACTTCAGATTACCCCG